TTTTCTTCTATTCTTCTATTCAACTATATGTATTTTCCTCTTCTGCTTTCTTTTATTTAGTAGCTTAAAGGCTTGTTCTTAGTGAAAATCTTGTGTTTTCTTTGTTTTTCTTTTTGCTCCAAATTTGGTCGAAGTAATCGATGGAGAGAGTTATCTCTGTTATTTGTAATATGAATAAATATGATTGACCTAAGTTGTTTTTAACTTTTGTATTAATTTAGATAATATTTGGAATTCTGTTCAACCTAAGTAGATTCTAAATCTACAATAATTCTATTCTGAATATATAATATATTTGACAAATGTTTATATAGTATTTCAATTATTAGATTCAATAAAATATTATATTTATTATCTATTAAAATGAAAACATGAAAATATACAAATATAAAATAAGTTTTACTTATATATTTTGCATATTGCTTGTTACAGATTATTATAAGAATTGTCTAACAAAAAGTAATTATGTGATTTTTATTAAATTTGCATATATGAATATGAGGCAGGTTCAATATGATAAACCCTATTTATTTATAAACCCTATCCTAGAAATCTATTCCTGAATCTATATTATTTCTCTAAAAATCTATCTCTGAATTTGCATTATATCTCCTAAAAATTTATCCCTGAATTTGCATTATAACCTAGCTCTAAATCTAGTCCCAAACACTATATAAAAAGCTAAAAACCTAAGTTTAAAATTTTAGAAAAAACTTACAATTTTAAAGAAAAAAAAAAAACAAGTTTCATAGTTTTTCTTTTTAAGATTAGAGCAGAGAAGATGATGTAGCTGATGGTAGTGATATAGCTAATGGAGCTACTAAAGGTAACATAGCTAGGAGTATAGAAAAGAAATTAAACAAGGTAATACTATAAATATAAAGCTTGTAAATTTAAGATACCTTTTTTATTTTTATTTTTAATTTGGTATATTCTTTTCACAGAATAACGAACAGTACTTCTTATAGGTATTTCAACAATAATAGTTTTGTTATTGTTGGTCATACTAATAACAGTTCTAGTTTCATTAAATGTAGTATGGAGTTTTCTTTTTCTGGTCGATGAATTCATATCGGTATCTGGGGCTATAGCAACTGGCTGACTAGTCTCATAAAGATTCTTATGATGATAAATACTTGCATATTTAAGTATGTATTTTTAGAATTTTTCTAGGTAAGTGTTAACTTCAATATGAATCATGAAGACCTTTTCTAGATGATTTTTTTTAGTTTGAGGTATAGTTTGTATTTCGTCTACTTCTATTTCCTGAAAATCAGCAGGATTAAACTGTTGGTATACTCCATAGAGCTTATATCCAAACATTACTTCATGAGAAGTTTTACCATAAAAACTATATGAAGTAGTATTATAAGAAAAAACAAATTTTGTTAAGTTATCTTTCTAATTAATGTTTTGCAATTGAAGTTCTTCATTCTATAATATTTTTATTAATTTACACCTAATAGTTTAATTCAAATACTTAATTTGACCTTGTAACATTAGATACTATGGGTAGTTATGCTGAATCATAATTCATAAAGCTTCACAGATTCATTTAATTACATCAGCAGTAAATTTCTTACTGTTATCAGATTGCAAGATTGAAGGTGCATCCCACTAGGAGAAAAGAGAGACTAAGGCTTCACTAACTATATATGCTTTTTTTGTTTTAAGTGGAATAGCCCACAAAAACTTTGAAAAAATGCAAACTATTGTAAGAAGCTAAAAAAATTTATTATTCATATCTTTGTAAGCTATAAAGTCTATAAGATCTATTTGTATATATTCTATTGGTCTGTAGCTTATAACAGAGATTAGATCATCCTTTTTTTTAATCGAAGTAGTTTGATTATAAGTATTACAGTTTTGAATATATTCACAGACATCTTTTTTTATAATACCAATATAATATACAATAATTTTTTTATGACAATCATTTGCATTAATATGATAGTCCTTGTTATAGAATTGTTTAAACAAAGATAAACAAAATTCAATATATCAGATAGGTACAAAATATCTAAGTAGCTAGTTATTAAGTTAAACGTGAATATGATTATTTTGTAATTACCAAAGTTTCATCTTACATTTAAAATTCTATCGATATTTCAATTTAATAGAAGTAGGTATTGTTCTAGTTTTAAGATAATTAACTATATTTTAATATGATTTAGAAGTTTTTGGAAAATTGGCTTCATAAACTATAGTATAAAATTT